AAAAAATAATATCCAACTTGATTATTATGATAGAGAGAGTATTCTGTGAATATTCCAACTATTTGACCGTATTGAACTCCCAGATGTGGGCAGAAAACGGCTTATTAGTGTAAATTATATCATCAAACAACTATTTGACATCTTAGGGATAAAATACAAGTCCATTCCTCACACACGAATAAAAAATACACTAAAATATTACAATGAATGGTGGGGCAAAGTTTATGGTCACATTAAGGATGACGTCAATAGAATAATTTTAAGGAGGCATTATTGATCTGTTGGATGGGAGAGAAACTTTTTAACGTACTGCTTTTCGAATCTTGTTACTAATGGGGCAAAGTCCACGATCGTATCATCTAGTATATTTAGTTCCTTTAGGAAATCGTTTTTGTCAAATGGCCCCCCTCGCAGAGCGGTACGGAGGTCAAGTAATATTTTCTGGTAAGTGGAATAAGCAAACTTTGACATCTCTATTTGTCGTTTATAGTTCTTTGTGTCAGAAAGTGTTTTGAGAACTAAACCAGCGCCTGATATGCTTCCTAGAATGGCTGGGTTGGCAGTCAAACCACCAGCAACAGCTCCAATCATTATCAGGCCAGATGATGACATGTTTAATAGGAGATTCAGTTTCTTAAAGTGTTTGAAGGCCTGTCGGTGACACCAATATTTATAATGATAATACTTGTACAATTCTTTGATTTCCTGGATTTCTTCTTTTGTTTTACTTTCATCGATATGATTGAAGCAGAATACGTTTTCTTTTTGACTCATTATATTTTTAGTTTAGATAAATTACAGAACATAAGAACCATTCAATTTCTCCTGCAACATAATTCTATGAAATTCGATAGAATCGAAGTCATGAAAGTTTGGAGTGTACATTACTCTATAGATCACTGTATCTTCCGAGAATATTCTGAATGTGTAGGTACTTTGAGATGTTAAAGTTGTACTTAGTGTTAATGTTGCACTATGATTACTGATTGATGCTTTTGCTGTTATGTCAACCCCTGTACCTTTCTTAGTCAACCAAAACACAACACGTTAGTAGTATAAAGGGGTATGTGGACGAACAAAAGTGAGGGGTTAACGGGGTTTATGGGGTTAACGATGAAATCGTTATCACCAGCAAGTCAGTCAAGTCAATCTGGTTTTTGTCCTTTTTCCAATTTTGCAATGTCAAAGGTTAACGTCAAGAGTTAATTCTGTCGAGTGAGTTTTCCTAAACCTAACTAAATTTCCTAACCCTAATAAAATTTCGTTACCCTCACTAAATGTCCTAACCCTAACGAAATGTCCTAAGCTAACACAAATGTTTACTTTATTGTTGAGGGCTAAATCCGTCGAGTTTAATGTTGAGGGCTAAAATCTTACCCTAACAAAAAATAAAATTAGCGATGTTTTCACAG